CACAAGGACACAGCTCCAGTTCCTCGTTCCTGTTTTTGGATGAAATGGGTACCGGGCTTATTTGCCTTGTGTTCATAGTTTAACATGCATCTTTCTTCTCCTTCAAGAGTACTTTTACACAGGTGAACTTTATTTATATTCAAGTAAAGATAATTTCGAGGACACCACAAGAGAAATATTCCCAAGTCTCACTGAAATATTTCTTCTTTCCTACAGATTAAAGGCTGTACTCAACTTAAAAGAAGTATCCATTCTATTGACTTGTTATTGGACTCGAAACTCCTTTGACCTCAGAAACTGAAGATGAGGTTGTCATGGGAACTGCTGGTACTGCAATCATTCATGTTGTGCTTGGCAGGTAGAGTGTCATTTTAGAACTTTTTTGATTTAAAAATGTCACTGTATTTCACACAAATTTAAAAGTGGGCTTTTGCTTTCCGTGGCAATGATTGAATTGCAGCAGTGGGCATGTTGACAGTGATGAGCATCCACGGTTACTGTGGATACACCGTCTGGATGGGCTTGCAGGGGCTCTTTCCATGGCATTACATCCACAGCTAGACACTGGTGTTTCGCCTGTCGATCTGGTAATTGTAGAGTCATCTGAGCTATTACTTAGTTGGAAAGCCATTTTTGGTCCTCCTCATGCTCAATCATACAGAGATATTAAGCAACAAAACTGCACGTATAGTCTGGAGTATGGCATACCTTGGTATCGGTGCATGGTGGTTTATCTGGGGTCTTTGCTGGTATCTCTCCATCTTTTGATACTGACTCCTTTCTGCTCTCATTTCAATGTTCCTGTAGTTTAGAAACCAGTTTACAAGAAAAATGCAAGAGGCTTTTATTATTAGAAAAAGGATTATATGCACACGTATTGTTTACTAATTTCTCAAAGAGGGGAGCCTATTAGTTAACATGCATAATTCAAATTTTCATGATGCAGAGTACACTCGGTACATCCTGGACATTGGTCTGCAGGTTGGCTTGGTGGGCATCATCTCAGGTCTCTTTGAAAGGAATCTAGATGACTTGTTTGAGTATGGAATTTATTTTTATAACATGAAATAAAAAATACTTTGAGATCACAATTATTTTGATTCATGTATTCATTCAGATGATATTATCATGTTACTTACAATGGACTAGCACCATGCTGAGATGTTGGAGTACATAGGAAGTCCCTGGGTCATCA